GAAATAAGAGCCCGAAGAGCAAAGTCACATGACAATAAACACACTTGAGAAAAACAACTATCATGTGCTCTGTAATCCCAGTGACTTGAGGGGCTGAGGCAGGAGGATTGCAAATTTGAGGCCAGCCGTGGCAACTTTGCAAGAGTCTGTCTCAAAATAAAATTTAAAGAGGGGTTGGGGATGAAGCTCAGTGTCAGAGGGTCCCATTCTGGGTTCAATCCCTAGTACCAGAAAAACAAAAATGAAAAGAAAAGGAAATAAAATTACTAATATGTGCATGCATTCACAGGGTACATTGTTCTGCCAATTTCTTACTTTTTGTGTGTGTGTGTGTGTGTGTGTGTTGCTGGGGATTGAACCTAGGGCCTCCTTGCACACGCCAGCAAGCACTCTACCACTGCACTACACCCCCAGCCCAATTTCTTAACTTTTTACTGGCTTTGTGCCTACGCTCCCTCTCCTCTCATTCTCTTTTAGGGGTTCCAATATTTTTTCTAGTATCATTTGTTCTCTAGGGGATTCAACACTTATCGCCTTCCCTTGCGGTATGACCTGTTCTCTCTTAAGATTCTCTATTTTCAGACTGGGCATGGTGGTACACACCTGTAATCCCAGCAGCTTGGGAGGCTGAGGCAGGAGGATGGCGAGTTCAAAGCCAGCCCCAGCAAAAGCAAGGCCCTAAGCAACTCAGTGAGACCTGTCTCTAAATAAAATACAAAATAGGGCTGGGGATGTGGCTCAGTGGTCGGGTGCCCCTGAGTTCAATTCCCGATACCAAAAAAGGAGAAGATTCTCTGTTTTCTATCACGATTTTAGTTCATTCTCAGTTACTGTAACAAAATATCAGAGGCTGGGTACTCAGTAAGGGAAAGACACTTTTTAACTCATAGTTCTGGAGGCTGAAAGTCCAAGATCAATTGGCCCCATTGGTTGAGCCTCTGGTGAGGGCCTGGTGATGATGAATGGCATCACAATGACAGGAGCACAGAGGGGAAAATCCCAGGGTGAGATCAGGAGCCAGAAGGATTCAGGGGCCAGGCTTGCTCTTCTATAATAACTTGCTCTTTAGAAAACTAACTCCCCAGGAGACCAGCATTATTACCTTCTGAGGGTGATACCCCAGTGGCCTAACCACCTTCCATAGGTTCCACCTCTCAAGTAAGATTCTGCCTCCTCTGAACACTGCCACGCTGGGGACCAAGCCGCCCACACATGAGGCTTGGGGAACAGACCACATCCGAATGATACAACCACCTGGTTTTATGTTGTTATCTCTTAAACATCTCTGAGTTCTTTCCCTTCTGGATGGGAAAAGTGGCCGCCTCAGCCCCTGTTAAGAGCCTTCTATGAGCAGACCCTTCCTACAGGGGTTATAATGTGGAAGCCTAGTAGAGAATGGCCCCAGCAACACTAGGAGCCACTCAAATAGTGTCTTAAGTTGAGTTGAATTGGTCTTCTCATCTCATGGTATCTGGGATGCTTGGAGTGAGAGCCATGTCCAGATAGTCTTAAGCCTGTGCAGAACTCTTTTTCCCTGGGTTTCCGCTCCACCAGGATCAGTTACTAGCACTTCCCCAGAGGCACAGAATGAAGCAGTTGATCCACCCTTAAAGTGGCACTGCTCTGGATCTTATCATCCTGCCTTGAACAGAGAGATAAACATAATTTCAATCCCCATTTTTTATGCACTCACTAGAAAGCAGACAGGGTTGTTCCAAGATGGATTTCCTGTGTCATAGAAACACAGAAGCATAAAAGGGAAAAACCAGATGTGCACATAGAGCCTGCCCAGGCTTACACATTCTTCATACCCAGAGTCGTTAGGCCTTATGTTCTGTGTTCCTTTTTTTTTTTTTTTTGAATATGAACTCTTGCTCAAATTCAACGCCAGGGTTAGGAGGAGGGAGGCACAGATCTGGGAGTTCATGCACTGGGGGCTCATCTGTGGTTGTCCACACATGTGGGGGCTTGTTGTGTGAAAGTGTCACTGTGCAGATCTAAGCAGGGCACTTCAGGGATACTCTTAAGCTTTGAACAACCTCCTTGCAACCTATCAATCCTTTCTCTTCAATGGAATGCAAAGCCCTCCTGTCCAGAGAAGCCTTACAGATTGGGGAGATCACAGACAAGACGCTGTCGGCCCCGCACACTTGCAAAGCACTTTCTCTTTAGAATTCCTGAGTCTTGGGAATCTCAAGTGAAAATGCTTTAAGTAGTGCCAGGCCTGTTTCTGTCCACTGAAACACAGGGTGATTTTCTCAGTCAGAAGAAAAGTATAAAATACAGTTACAAATACAAAATTAGCAGTATTGTTCTTTTCATTTGAAATGTACTGCCTGGCTTGAGATTATAGCAAGGAAGCTGTGTCTAGAACTGTGATCACAGAGTAACAGTGGTCTTGGGTCCAAGCGAAAGAGAAGCAGTCAGCAAACAGTTGGGGAGCTGATCTCCTGATGCCCCAGGTTAGGAGAGCTAAATTTGGAGAGAATAGTGAGGACTAAAGTAGTGGATAGGGTCATCTAACCAGACCCTGGTTCGTGATTGTTTATTTAGTTTCTACTCCTTGCTAGACACTGTTATAGAGGCTTAGAATATAGTAAGAAGGAAAAATGAAGTCTGTTCTCATCGAATTTATATCCAAGTGGATGGAGACAGATTGTCAGGTGGCAGTAAGTGCAAAAAAGAGAATTTAAGCAGGTTGAAGGGACAGTTGGGTGGTGCTATTTTAGACGTGTTGGAGGGGGAATGTCGCACTCAAAAGGGAGCATTTGAACAAGAACCTAAATCAAGTGCTGGAGCAAGTCTCATGGATATCTGGAGGAAGATCACCATAACCCAAAGGAAAAGGCTTGGGGTTGGGGGTGGGTCTGAGGAACAGCAAGGGACCAAATTGGCTGGAGCCACAGAGGTCAGAAAGGAGTGGTGGGCGCTGCCACCAGAGAGTTGCTTGGGGCCAAGATCCCCCTGGGTCTTGTAGTGAATGGGTGGGAAGCCATTGAAGGTTTTGAGCAGAGGAGTGATTTGATTGGACAGGTTTTCAGAGGAACCACTGTGATTGCTGGGTTCTTGATTAGACCTTAGGGAGGCACCAGAGGCAGCAGGGAAATAGCATCTGATTGTGGAAGTACAGGTGAGAGAATGTGTCTGAATTAGGGATGTTGTGCTGGAATGGTAGGGCATTAGTCAGACTCTGATATTTCACAGGCAGAACCAACAGCATTTTCTGATAGATTGCAGAGCATGAGAAAGAAAGGGTGGGGGAAGACTTAAGATGATTCCAAGTTCTCCTTTGCTTGTTTTCTGAGCAACCAGAAGAATGGAATTGCTGTTTACTGAGATGGGAGGGATATCAGAAGTCTGGTTTTGGACATGGTACATCTGAAGTCTGATTAGACATTAACAAGGAGGTGCCAAGTAGTTAATTGATGGTAAGAGTCTGGAGTTCAGGAAATTGAGTGAGGTATAAACTGAGGCTCTGTGGAGTCCAAAGACTCAGTTCTCTTTGTCAGTTTCATCCTGCTCAAAAAAAAAAAAAAAAAAAAAAAAAGACTGGGAGGTCTTTGGAAGCCCTGGACTATGGACTAGCTAAGGCATACTTTGCACCAAGGATGGCCTGGACCATGGCCTGGACTCTACTGTGTCTTCAACCTCCAACCAGCACTTCACTCATTCACAGATGTTCACCAGGTGCCTATCTGCATGCCAGGAGTGGGCCAGGTATTGGATATGAAAGGAGAACAAGACACTCCCTGTCATCACAAAATGCTTCGTTTTCTAGGGGATTAGGATAAGAGAATGGAGATTTCAGTTTAATGAGTTGCGGTACATATGGGGTGTTGTTGGACCCAAAGCAGAGGAACCTCATCCTGTCCTGGAGACAGAGAAAGCTTTTCAGAGAACAGGCTATCTAAGCCTTCCCCTGGAAGATGAGTAGGGAGAGCAGGTAAAGATCGAGAAGGTGGGCAGAGACTGTTCTAGGCAGAGCAAGTAGCATGTGACAAGCAAAGAAAATTTGTCCAGATGAAGGAGAAAAGGACAGCTGAGTATGTCTGGGATGCAAAATGAAGGAGGTGCACAGAGGCAGAGAAAGGCAGGTCAGGATCCTAAAGGGCAGCACTGGAATCTGATTATAACAGCTAGGGGATGCTTTTGAGGAGTATGAGGCATAAGCGGCTTAAGGTAGGAGTGGTAAAGAGAGCCTGGGAGCCATTGTATCAGAGAGCTGGCGGGTGGCAGTCTCAGATCTCAGTGCCCTAAAAAATGACCCATAAATGTGTCCATATAATGTGACACAAGGCCTGAATCTGCTGTGCATAACCTCAGCTAATGGGAGAGTTTCTTTAACTCAGAGAGTTAATCACTTTGATGTAAATGAAGTTCAATATACAATCTTTTAATAGGGGGCCAGTGTGTGGGAGAAAGGAGGTGAAGGGCAGCTTTAAGATGGGACAGCCCTCAGGAAGGGCAAGTTCTAGTCAAGGGGGAAGGTAAGGGGAACAGGAATGGAAACCAACAAATCATGTTCTTTCTAAGTTCATCTTGTTTTGTGTAATGTGTGTGCTGTGCAGTGTGTACTCAGGACAGGGCCCAGATTCCACATGAAGGTGCCGAGTGCTGGGTGTGTGTGTGTGTTGGGACTGGGTGTTTGCGATGGGATGTCCCTGTTAACGTGCAGAGCTCTGGAATGCACACTGTGCAAGCGCCTACCTGCAGGAAAGGGATCTGCAGCCAACAGATGTGAGAGAGCATAGGCCTGCGGATGGCCCCGGTGGCCAAGATGATATCTCACAAAGAACAGGCTACGGGTTCTCTTCAAAGTTAGAGTATTTGGACTGATTTTGCACACAAATACATAGGCACTTGGGTATTTGTCAAATGAATGAGCGTTTTGGTTTTATTAAAGTTCAGTCATTTTAGGAAACATAAATGGTTAAAAGTTAAAAGTTTGAACTAGATGCTTTAAGAAAAATAAATTCATAGCCAGACACCAATACACATTTATAAAATCTAGCAGTTTAAATCCTGTATTGGAGTTTATATACCAGCTGGAGTCCAACTCTGTGGAAGGAACTCTTCCTATTTCATTTTATGCAACAAACATTTCCTGAACACCTCGGCCCCACAGGCAAGCCCAGCTTTGCTGCCTGCACTCATTTCCCTTTCCTGAGCCACCTTAGTCAGGTGCTGCAATTAAAGCTTAATTATATGTTATCTTCTATTGTTCCTTAATTGTTGCATCTGCATTAATCCACCTCTAAGGGAGGCTGTATGTTCCTTGGGGCAGGGACTATACTGTCAACTTCAGGGTAAATGAGGAATGAAGGAGAGAGAGAGAAAATACAGAAGTGTCTAAGGACAAATGGAAACATGGAATGATGTCTGGACTGTATTTATTCCTTTAGTAATGAAAAGATAAAATTCCAATTTGCATTTTTCATGTTAAGTGAAGGCTTTGTGTATAAAAATAATTGCTGTGATCCCCACAATGCTTTGTTCATCTTGATGCAAGACATAACTCTTTTCTTGGGGATGAAAGTTAAAAAGATGGAACTAGTCTACCATGAATGACCTCTTAGCCAGATTATCCTGCTGCAAACTTCTTAAAACACTGGCACTATTGACATTTTAGACTAGGTCATTTTTTGTTGTAGAGGCTGTCTTGTGCCTTGCAGGATGTTTAGATGCCAGTAGGTACCCCTCCCCCCAGTTGTGACAATCGAAAATGTCTGCAGAAGTGGCTCAGCGTCCCTGGGGGGCAAAATCACCAGCAGTTGAGAATCAGTATAGGACTTTAGGTTCTAGTTACTTTTCTTATTTAAAAAATGGTGGGAGACCAGAGAAGGAAAATACTCTATACTTACTTGCTGTGGGTTAGGCACTGTATCTACTATTGAATTTCATCTTACAGATAAAGAAGCTGATGTTCAGAGCTGAAGAACTTGCTGAAGATCACAAAGCTGGGTCAGCAGTTAAATCAGGATTGCAAGGCGGGCTTATCTGCCTCCAAAGACTTCAACCCTTTCTGCACACTCCCACTGTTTCTGTAAGAAAAAAACGGCAGGCCTCAAGTTGAAGGTGAACTGCAAATTAAAAAAAAAAAAAAACAAAAAAAAAACTATGTCGGAAAATATAACATTTTTTGGGGGGAAGGGAATTGTTGCACTTCACTAAATTTGTTTGAATGTAAATATATATGTCCCCGCATATAGACACTGGGCCCTCTTACTACCGTTGTGGCTCTGGTCTTATCTAGGAAAAACATTGAGCAACACAATGGAACAACTTCAATTCTCCTTGTTACAAATTATCCAAAAGCCAGAGCCTAACGGTGCCAAAAGCAACCAGTATTGTTTACATAAGGGCTGAAGGCTAATAGTTAACTTTCTCCCATTTATTTCCAGAAACGGTAAATAACGCCTCATTTTACAACTACAAACAAGTAAAATGTCATAAAGCGGGGAAGAAAACAACCCAAAGGAAAATGGAAAGGTTGGTTTTTAGCACCCGCTCTGGGAGCCGGGCCTGCGTGGCCTGGGTCCCCCTCGTCCCTCCAAGCTCTGGTCCGCGGCGCCCGGAGCTTTCTGGCTTCCTTTCCCGCCCTGGGGCGAGCTCGGTCTCTCTCGGAGAAGCTTGTCTCAGAGCCAGGCCTGGAAAAACAACAGCGAGAAACTTTGGCTGGGTTTGCGGTTCAGTGGAAAAAAAAAAA